GAGGGAGACACAGAATCCAAAGCAGGCTCCAGGCTCTGAGCTGTCAGCACAAAGCCTGATGCGGGGCTCAAACTCACAAACCGTGAGATCATGACCTGAGCAGAAGTTGGATGCTTAACTGACTGAGCCACCCAGGCACCCCAAGTCCCATCCATCGCTAAGCAAAATAGAAATGTTCAGTGTGACTCATTCACAGAGCATTGTGAGAACCAAATAAGTTAATACACATTTAAAGTCACTAGAACAGTACCAGGAAGAGTATAAATTCTCATCAAATACACAGCTATTATTATTAGTATCATCTTTGCAAGTATTCACCTGTTCTTCCATTTATGCCACCTACTTTTATTACACACTATGTATATATATATGCTGGTGTTTTGGAGGATAAATATTTTTAAAAATTTTTATGTTTATTTTATTTTTGAGGAAGAGAGAGACAGAGCATGAGTCTGTCAGGACAGAGAGAGACAGAGACAGAATCTGAAGCAGGCTCTAGGCTCTGCACTGTCAGCACAGAGCCCAACACGAGGCTCAAACTCACGAACTGCGAGAAGTTCGTGACTTCATGACCTAGCTGAAGTTGGATGCTCAACCGACTGAGCCACCTGAATGCCCCTAAAATATTTTTTAAGTAAAATAAAAATAGTTCTTGCCCTTAACTCTTTTGGAGTCAATAAAGGAATGAGAAGAGTATGAGAATAACTGGAGGACAGGTGAGGTATGTTAGACTCCTGACCTACCTAGGTGTCCAGGCCAAGAACTAAGGAGAAGGTTAAAGATATGTACCAGAGCACAGAAATCACAATCAAATTCTTAATATGCACAGGACAATAGCCAACACATGATAAATGTTGAATAACATGAAATAATGCCCCTCATGAGAAGTCTCCTCAGATCTTGGTGGTCCCTGAGGCAGAATCAGTGCCTCATCTTTCCACACTTCTCACGATGCCTCTACCTCTACTTCAGTACCTCCGTGTCTTACTCCCCTCCCTGTTTCCATTCCTGTTTCCCCCATGCAGTTTTGTGCTTTTAAAGACAGAAACCTATCTTCCTCATCTTCATAATCTTCAGGGCCAAATATGACGCCTGGAACATAGAAGGAGTCAGTAAGTGTGTTGGGAGGGAAGAAAACATGCTGGAGTTAGTACTGTTGTAAACAAAATGGGAATTATATGAAGCAATGTGCTGTTAGTTCCCCAGTCAAGCTCCAGAAAACTCACATTCATTTGAGAGATGTTCACAAACCGCTCTTAGACTCATACCTAGGATCTACTTCAAGGTCACCCTGATAGTTGGCAGGATACATCCTCTTCCTGTGCTGGAAAATTAAAATTTTATTTGTGCATTTCTAATCTGCAGTGGGTGTGATAAACAAAACAAAGCACTACATGGACTTCAGGGTCAGACAGACCCAGGCCTGCACTTCCTCATCTGCAAAACCAGTATCACTATTGCCTCTTGGGGCTCCTGAGGAGTAACAAGTAATGGATATGCGAGTGCATATCACACTCAGGGGCCCTGGCTGGATGGCAGTTTTCATTTTCAACAGTCTCTTCAGGATCACTGATTGTAATTTCATAATCTCATTTGTGAGTTCTCCTAGAATTTGGGCCAAGAAATGTGAAAATTCATAAGGCAGTTGGAGAATCACTTAGGATGTCATGACTTAAAAACTGGTAAACTAGAGGAAAGGAATTGTTTATCCTGCATTTCCTGTATGAACTGTACCACTAAATAGCCAAATAAGTAAAATTTTCTTTAAGAATATGTCAACTAGTCAGTGAAAAAGAAATGATAGGACATCACCAAATTGCAACTTGTAATGAAATCATACGTCCAGGCAATAATCATCAATGGCTGCTAACATCACCCAAAGAAATACTCTTACCAAAAAAAAAAAAAAAAAAAGGAACCTAATTTTTTTTCCACCCATTAACTTTACACTATCAGGTTCTGGAGTCAGACAGAGCTTTGTCAATCCTGGCTCAGGCTTTAAGTAACATTAGGAAAATTACGCAGTTTGGTTTCTTCACTTGTAAAAAGGAGGGAAAGGTGAGACCATTGTGAGGGTTAATGGAGCAGTATTACATGAGCACCTACCCTGTTTCTGGCATATAGTAGCCCTCCACAGGAGGCAGGTAGATATGCTGCCTCCACACAATGGCATCTGGGGCCAAGATTTGTGCAGCTGATGAGGGCTGAGGGAAGGGACACGGGCTGGAGGCAATGAACTTTTTCTCTGTGAAGTTTTCCTGGAAATGTACAAAAAAGAATAATTTGATAGATTTTCTGCAGAGTCCCAAAACTTAAAAAAGAACTTTTTAAAATGTTCTTTAGAAAGAGAGTGAGACAGAGCATGAGCAGGGGAGGGGTAGAAAGAGAAGGAAACACAAAATTCAAACCAGGCTCCAGGCTCCGAGCTGTCAACACACAGTCCAAAGCAGGGTTTGAACCCATGAACCATGAGATCATGATCTGAGTGGAAGTCAGATGTGTAACTGACTGAGCCACCCAGGTACTCCAGAGTCCCAAAACTTTTTAAAGACTTGCTCTAGACATGTACCCCAATGTTCATAGCAGCACTCTCCACAATAGCTAAAACATGGAAAGAGCCTAAGTGTCCATCAACAGACGAATGGATCAAGAAGATGTGGTTTATCTATACCATGGAATACTACATGGCAATGAGAAACAATGAAATCTGGCCATGTGTAGCAACATGGATGGACCTTGAGGGTGTTATGCTGAGCGAAATAAGTCAGGCAGAGAAGGACAAATATCATATGTTTGCACGTATAGGAGGACTAGGAGGAACTTGACGGAGGAACAAGGGGGAGAAGAAGGGCGGAAATGGTGGGGGAAAGGGAGAGAGGCAAACCATGAGATACTCTTGAATGCTGACAAAAACTGAGGACTGATGGATGTGGGGGGGAGGGGGGGATGGGCATGGAGGAGGGCACTTTGGGGATGAGCACTGAGTGTTATGTAGAAACTAATTTGACAATAAACTATTTGTAAAAAAAATAAATAAATAAAAAAAATAAAGACTTGCTCTAGAACCCACTGGACTGTAATCTCCTTGACAACGGAGATGCATATCCTTCTCTGTAAAACCCTAGCTCTCCATATTGTCTTCCACATAGAAAGTGCTCAATAAAAAAAGCATTCGCTGTAAAAAAGCATTGGCTGTATGATTTCAAATTGAAGTTGTTGATGGACCCTTGGGCTCTTTCCATGTTTTAGCTATTGTGGAGAGTGCTGCTATGAACATTGGGGTACATGTGCTTCTATGCATCAGCATTCCTATATCCCTTGGGTAAATTCCTAGCAGTGCTGTTGCTGGGTCATAGGGGAGTTCTATTGTTAATTTTTTGAGGAAGCTCCACACTGTTTTCCAGAGGGGCTGTACCAGTTTACATTCCCACCAACAGTGTAGGAGGGTGCCCGTTTCTCCACATCCTCGCCAGCATCTAGAGTTCTCTGATTTGCTCATTTTAGCCACTCTGACTGGCGTGAGGTGGTATCTCTGTGGTTTTGATTTGTATTTCCCTGATGAGGAGGGATGCTGAGCATCGTTTCATGTGTCTGTTGGCCATCTGGATGTCCTCTTTGGAGAAGTGTCTGTTCATAGCTTCTGCCCATTTCTTCACTGGGTTGTTTGTTTTTCGGGTGTGGAGTTTGGTGAGTTCCTTATAGATTCTGGATATTAACCTTTTATCTGATATGTCATTTGCAACTATCTTTTCCCATTCCCTTGGTTGCCTATTAGTTTTGTGGGTTGTTTCCTTGGCTGTGCAGAAGCTTTTAATCTTGATGAGGTCCCAATCATTTAGTTTTGCTCTTGATTCCCTTGCTTTTGGGGATGTGTCAAGTAAGAAGTTGCTGCGGTGGAGGTCAAGGAGGTTGTTTCCTGCTTTCTCCTCTAGGGTGTTGATAGTTTCCTATCTCACGTTCAGGTCCTTTATCCATAAATCAAAACTATTTTTGATCTATTAAGAAAAGTTATACAATTTAAATCATAGACTTAAATTATCAAATATCAGAGATGAACGAAGACCTCTGAGCCAAAAACTGCCCCTGAGGAAACTCATGGTGGATTGACCTTGGTGAGCAAGAACTACATCCATCCTTTGGTGTAGTGTTCTGGGCTCCTCGCATTGACCTTCCTTTAGTTATGGAATTAATTTAGTATTGAAGTGAGTCACTGGACTATTTCTAGAAACCACCATCTTTCTCTGGAGTGGTCTCTCAAGAGAGCCTGTTTTTGTCCGTTTAAGAGAAACTGTCCTCAGGGATTCATCTTCTACCTGGAGAATTTTGATCAAGAAAGATGGAACTGGCCAATCTTTGTGTTCATCACACCAGCCCTGTGCTCAAACCAGCTTTCTTCTTTCATCAATCATTGGGGCACCTTCCAATATTTGCTGAAGGGAGAGTATTCATGGTCTGATTTCTAGCATCAGGATCATGCCATCAACAGGTTTTACCTATTTATTTTTACTTGGATTAGCTGCTTGACCTCTCTGAGTCTCAACTTAGCCATCTTTAAATGGGGATACAAATGGTAAATATCTGATAAAGTTATTTTGAAGATTAAAGGAGATGAAGTGTGTTTTGAGTGTAACATTACATTGTAAAGGTTTTATGGATGTCAAGGATTGTTAGTTTTTCATGCTTTGTTTTGAAATACCAACTGTGCCAATCATTCATTCACTTGCTGGAGCAGCATATAAATTTGAGCAGCTCTTGAGCATGGAAGCATACACAAAGTGAAAGGCCTTGCTTATGCTTCAGGCTGGGAAGAAGAGCCCAAGGATACCCATAGCTGCAACTATGGGAGAAATGGAAGAGGCTCTGTGTGCCAGGGCTTGCCTGGGGAAATAGCCCTCATACACAGCAACCTGGGTTTGCAGCTGCTTCCCCATCCTGGTGTGATCTGCCTTGTGTTCATGTTTCAGTAACAACCTTGAAGCTGAATGTAACAAAGCAAGAAGATGGCTAAGATTAACACCCAATTCTCCCACCCTGCGGTAAGGACCATGGACAGAGATCTGGACCACGTTGAAAATGGCCTCGGCAGGTAAGATGGGCTTTTCGTTTTATTCTCATTTTATTTTTTTAAGCTTTTTTATGTCTTTATTTTATTTTGAGAGGCAGAGATAGAGAGCGAGCAGGGGAGGGGCAGAGAGAGAGGGAGACACAGGATCTGAAGCAGGCTCCAGGCTCTGAGCTGTCAGCACAGAGCCCGACGCGGGGCTCAAACCCACGGACTGTGAGATCGTGACGTCCTCATCCACCATTTCTCCTCAGCCAATTATGTATATCATGCCCTCTCTCAGATGCACATTTGGTTTTCTTCTCTATCTAGATTCTTAATCCCAGCACCTTAGCTAACTCTGCTCATGAATGATGGACAACCATTTCCAAAGCGATTTGAGTCCCTGTTATCATAAACTTATGCAGCCCTAGGACCCCACCTTCTGGGATTTAGGCAAAAAGAGGAATATCTCAAAGCACCCCAACAGATATTTATTGCCTCCAACCATTTTATTATTTTTCTAATAAGAAAAGTGCACTATTTTTGTTTTGACCTGCCACCATAACCCCATGTTGTATAGTCAGCACCTAAAAATAATTAATCTATTATTTTATTTTTTTAAATAGTTTATTGTCAAGTCGGTTTCCATATAACAACCAGTGCTCCTCCCCACAAGTGCCCTCCTCCATGCCCATCACCCCCCATCCTCTCCCTCCCACCCCCATCAGCTCTCAGTTTGTTCTCAGCATTCAAGAGTATCTCATGGTTTGCTGCCCTCCCTCTCCCCCACTATTTTTCCCCTTCTTCTCCCTCATGGTCCTCCATTAAGTGCCTCCTAATCCTCCTATACGTGCAAACATATGGTATCTGTCCTTCTCTGCCTGGCTTATTTCACTCAGCATAACACCCTCAAGTTCCATCCATGTTGCTATACATGGCCAGATTTCATTCTCATTGCCAAGTAGTATTCCATTGTATACATAAACTACATCTTCTGGATCCATTCATCAGTTGATGGACACTTAGGCTCTTTCCATGCTTTGGCTATTGTTGAGACTGCTGCAATGAATATTGGGGTACATGTGCCCCTATGCATCAGCATTGCTATATCCCTTGGGTAAATTCCTAGGAGTGCTATTGCTGGGTCATAGGGGAGTTCTATTGTTAATTTTTTGAGGAACCTCCACACTGTTTTCCAGAGGAGCTGCACCAGTTAACATACCCACCAACAGTGTAGGAGGGTGCCTGTTTCTCCACATCCTCACCAGCATCTAGAGTCCTCTGATTTGCTCATTTTAGCCACTCTGACTGGTGTGAGTATCTCAGTGTGGTTTTTTTTTTTTTAATGTTTTATTTATTTCTAGGAGAGAGAGAGAGACAGCGTGAACAGGGGAGGGTCAGAGAGAGAGGGAGTCACAGACTGAAACAAGCTCCAGGCTCTGAGCTGGCAGTCAGCACAGAGCCCGACGCGGGGCTCGAACCCATGAACCGCGAGATCATGACCTAAGCGAAAGTCGGACGCTTAACCGACTAAGCCACCCAGGCGCCCCTCTCAGTGTGGTTTTGATTTGTATTTCCCTGATAAGGAAGGATGCTGAGCATCATTTCATATGTCTGTTGGTGTTGGCCATCTGGATGTCCTCTTTGGAGAAGTATCTGTTCATATCTTCTGCACATTTCTTCACTGGATTGTTTCTTGGGTGGCCTCCAGCCATTTTAACATGGTGCTGGAGCCTCAGGAATCTTGCTATGACTTGCTATCAGAAATTCTCACCCTGCTCAAATTTCTCCCTCCTAACTGGCCTACTGTCAATACCAGGGTCCTGCCACTGGAGACTTATTCTTTTAGGTTAGGTCATTGCCCCTAATCTAAAACAAGATAAAAACACTCCTAGGACAGACATCTGCTTAAAACTTTGGTATGCATTAATAGCTTCTTTTTCACACCTGAGCTAATAAACCTTTTGGGGTGGGGTGTTCAAAGAAGATTGGGGTGGAACAGAGAAAAGGTCCACAGCTGTCAAGTCAAGCTCCCTGGGCAGCACTGGGCTCCTGGGACTTTGGGCCCAATGGGAGAAGGACAGAGGCTGTTAGGATCCGGAAATTTTTGAAGTAAAATGGAACTTTCCCCCATTTCTCCCTTTTGCCTTGAGTGGGATATAATCAGAACATCTTATGGAATTTCCAGTTTCCCTGTGACCAAGAAGGCAACAACAGGGGCTTAAGAGAAGATACTCAAGATACTGAGATACTTAAGAGAAGGCAGGCCCAGCTGGTGGGCTGGGGCTCCTGCCCAGAATGTCTGCTTGACCAGACACCACTGAGGTCCAGCCCTCCCTGACTTGTCCTGCCTCTGCCTCAGCCAGTGGCCTATTAGCCCAGCCTGATGTGTAGGCTATTTAAGAAGGCTCACGCCAGGTGTCCTGGAAGGTGACCCTTTGCAAAAGAAACTTCTAGCTCATTAAACCACATGGATACCCAGTGATAAGCCTCTGGCCTCCGAGAGACTCTCTGTGGGCTCACACTGGGTTTGTGTACACTTAGAGGGTCAGTCAGCTACAAAGTGGGGGTTGGGGGTGGGGTCTTGAATTGATGCCCTGCAACAATGCTATTTGCCATATTCATGGATGCGAATATGCCCTTCCTCTCTCTCCTATCCCCTGTCCCCTGACCAGTGTGATGACTAACAGGTTCAGGGTCAGACTGGCTGGGTTTGAACATTGGCTCTACAACTGACCAGTTCCGAAAAATTGTGCAGCTGTTCCAAACCACAGTTTCCTCATCTGTAAAATGTACTAGTGCTGACCACAGAGGGCTGTGGTGAGGTTAAAACAGGTGAAAGCTCCCAGCACAGTCCCTGCTGTGAGAAAGCGCTCAGTCAGTGCTGTCAGCCTTGGAAATGATTCTCTCTCCTGTGGTCCTTCCCTGGTATTCCAGGCTGGGAGCCTTCTCCTCCTCTGACCTCACATAGCTCCAGCTGTCCTGACATCTGGATCTGGCCATTTCCTGCCTGTGACCAAGTCACGCTTTCTAAACCTGATCACTAGTCCAGTCTCACTGAGCCTGCCTTGGGGACTTGCCCAACCACTGACGTGGTAAAAGCTTGTTGACAGATTAATACAGAATCCCAAGGAGACTCTGGAGATTTCAAAAGGAGAGAGATGAGGAATGCTTCCTTCATAAGACAAATGCTTGCTGTATCTTATGGAATCAGGAGTGGGTTAACAGATAGAAATTTCCAGAATGGGCTCCTTGGTGCTACCAAAGATGGAGAATGTGTTCAGGCTGAGGGTGGAACAGCCTTTGACCAGAGGCTGAGTCCAGGCCCCCCTCTGCTTCCCAGTGCAGCCCAGCATCAGTCTATATACAGACTAGTTTTCACTGTAAGATTTACTTGAACAAGGGACTCTGGCAAGTACACATAAAATTTTAAAGTTTCAAATCATTATTTTCGGGGAGAAAATGGTGTTTGAACAAACCATAGACCTTTGCTTTAAAATTAAAATCGCTTTAGAAAGCTATGGGAGAAATAATTGAGGTTTTAAAAATGTTTATTTATTAATTTTGTAAGAAAGAGAGAGAGAGAGAGAGATCACGTGCATGAGTGGGGAAGGGGCAGGGAGAGGAAGAAAGTCAGAGTGTCCCAAGCAGGCTCTGCACCATCAGCACAGAGACTGACACAGGGCTCTAATTCACAAATTGTAAGATCATGACCTGAGCCAAAATCAAGAGTCAGATGCTTAAGCGACTCAGCCATCCAGTATCCCCTAGAAGAAATAATTGCTAATGTGTGTCCTTAAATATTAATCATTCAGGGCACCTGGGTGGCTCAGTTGGTTAAGTGTCTGACTTTGGCTTAGGTCCTGATCTCACAGTATATGGGTTTGAGCCCTGCATCAGGCTCTGTGCTGACAGCTGAGAGCCTGGAAACTGCTTCAGATCCTGTGTCTCCCTCTCCCTCTCCCCCTCCCCAAATCATTCTCTGTCTGTCTGTCTATCTCCCTCTCAAAAATAAAAAACATTAAAAAAGTAATCATTCTTTATCCTCATTGATATCAGTGAAGCTGTTCTGGTAACCTGCATGTCACTGTGATCCTTTGCTGAATGCCCCCAGGAAGGAGGCATGTGTCCCCATCCCCTAAGACACCCCTCTCCCCAAATCTTTCACCAAATTGGAAAGCCAGGTTTCTGTTTCTCCTTTTAAATTATTGGGATCACTTTCCTCGTGACAAGCCGTAAGGAAGGATGGAAACATTTCATTTGAACAAAGAAGTCAAGTTTATATCCTGGAAATAACAGAAATAAAAATGTGTTGAATTTTTCTTTCCTATTAAATCTGTTTAGTTGACTTGATTATTTAAGAGCTATCTGGCATATGTGAAAAGATAATGCAGTAGGGAAAGACTTCAGAATCTGCTACAGAGGATTGCAGCTAGAACCGAGGGCACCTCAAATCTCAGATCAATCTTCTGGTGTAGCTATTTTAGGCGAGCTTTGGGGCATAGGGGTTTGTGTCCTACAGAAGAGAAGCCTTCTTCGTGCTGCTCTCTGAGCAGAGCCCAAAGCAATTATCACCAAAGAAAACCATTTTCAGCCTGCTTCCCCAGGACCAAAGACAAAAATGCACTCAGTTCAGTTCCCTGGTTACATGTGGCCAATAATTGTGCATGTTGGTCATTCACGGTCCTCAGAGCTTGAGAGGAGGGAAAGAAAAACAAGGTATCACATTCTCCACCCTTGTTCTCAAAGGTTTGTCTATGCTTATGTCCCCAAAGTCACTGGAGGAAGACACCAGGTGCTCCACGAAGTGCAAAGCTAATGACAAGTTGCAGTGGTGATGGGAACCGTGTCTTCTCCCAGTGACAGGGGACACCTTTCCCTCACAGACATGAATTCCCTTTTATAAGAAAACTTAGAAGATGGGCATCACAAGTTGAAAACTACCTTGTCTTTCAAAACAGTCTTATCATTGTCTTGTGCTAGCTGCTCTTGTTCTTGCTAATTACCGACTTCAAGGAGCTCCTTCCTGCTGATCTGCTTGTTTGTTTACAGATGAGTCCTGTCAAGTCCTTGCTCCAGGCCCCTCCACCAGCTTCTGGCAGGACAGTGCCTGACCCTCAGTCTCTCCTGCCTCTGTATTTCTCTGGGAAGTTCTGGATCCTCATTTTTTGCACTGGTACCTCCCTTTTTTCAGTACTGTATCCATGAGGACTCAAAATGTCACCTCAAACTTTGGTTCTCCTGTCTTCCCATCTCATCTTCCATCTGCTTGGTGAAATCAGTTTCTCTGAGGAATAGCTAATGGGGTTTACTATTTAAATAGCCCCAGGCATTTAACAAGGGTAAAGACTCAGGAGCTAGAAGACATGGTAGAATTTTAAGCATCAAAAAACAAGTGGGGACTCCAAATCAGGAAACTACAGATGCTGGAGAGGATGTAGAGAAACGGGAACCCTCTTGCACTGTTGAACAATGCAAACTGGCACAACCGCTCTGGAAAACAGTGTGGAAGTTCCTCAAAAAATTAAAAATAGAACTACTCTGTGACACAGCAATAGCACTGCTAGGAATTTACCCAAGGGATACAGGAGTACTGACGCATAGGGGCACACGTACCCTAAAGTTTAGAGCAGTGCTTTCAACAATAGCCAAATTATGAAAAGAGCCTAAATGTCCATCGACTGAGGAATGGATAAAGAAGATGTGGTTTATATATACCATGGAATACTACTCGGCAATGAGAAGGAGTGAAATCCTGCCATTTGCAGGAACGTGGATGGAACTGGAAAGTATTATGCTGAGTGAAATAAGTCAGTCAGAGAAGGAGAGATATCGTATGTTTTCCCTCATATGTGGATCTTGAGAAACTGAACAGAAGACCATGGGGAAGGGAAGAGGGACAAACAGTTACAAACAGAGAGGGAGGGAGGCAAACCACAAGAGACCCTTAGTTACGGAGAACAAACTGAGGATGAATGTGGGGGTGAGGGAGCGGGAAAATGAGTGATGGCCATTGAGGAGGGCACTTGTTGGGGTGAGCACTAGGTGTTGTATGTAAGCCAATTTGACAATAAAGTATATTTAAAACATTTTTTTAAATAAAATAGATTCACACTTAAAAAAAGGGTGGGGAGAAGAAAAGGCCCCTTAAGGTACCTTGAACTTACTTCACAGAAGACTTTCCCTATTCTTCACAGCTAAATATGCCTTTCTGGATTTGGCTGTTGGAAAGCTGATTAAAAACAAATCACCAATTTTTCCTTAGTTCCTTTCTGAAGACTAGGAAGCTTTAGGGAGGGTAAATGACCAGCCCACAGAACACCTAGCTACGAGGTGGTAGAATAGGGATTCGAATCCAGGGATCCCGGCTCCCCTCTCTGCCACCTGCCCTTCGAATTCCACATCAGAGCCCTTACTGCTGCCAGTAGAAGGCAGGCTTTGGAATCCGGGGTCGAGTTTTGCCCTCCTCATGTCCTCATCAGCTCTGATGTCATTGATTCCTGTGCTGCTAATGCAAATAAATCTGTTCTCAGGATGTGCCCTCCTATAATTGACAGAAAGCAGACTAGGCAGAAATGCGAGGCCGACTTCTTGGTGCCCAGAGCTCCCTGAGGAGCTTCTGGTAGGGACAGAACACCTTCACCCTCGGGATTACCTCCAGACCTTGCAGGCACACCTGCTCAGCTGTGGGTTGCTGCACCCCTAACCCCACCACATGCCGGCTGCCAGGATCAAGGGACTTGAGATACAGACTCACTTGTGCCATTGCTTCCTACTCCAGTAACTGACCTGGGTGCCTTGGAATGCACATTCCACATCTGTCATATACAGATTATTTGAAGGGCAAGGGGATCAGAGCTTCCTAACCACAGCAGGGCCTCTGACAGGGTGTCTAATACATATAAGGATGAAATGTGCGTGGTCTTTTAAAGGTGTAGGGGGAGAATTCAGTTAGATGGTTTGAAGATAAAGAGCCACCCACACACAATGTAGCCAGGCGGATCAGAGCCATGCCTCTGGCAGCATGCCACAAGGCTCAGTCCTCAGCCATGTCCTATTAAGCTTTTTCTTTAATCAGTGCCATATATGAAAATACAGAGAACAGCTTCATGGAGTGGATGAGAGCCGGCTTTGCCATGGGATGGGATGACATTCAAATCTCAGCTTTGCCACTTGGTCGTATGATCTTGGGGAAGTCACTTAACTTCTCTGAGCCTCAGTTTTCTACCTTATAGAGTGGTTGGTTATGTGGATTAGTTGATAAGATCTATGTGGCTGGCATACAGTAAGCAGTCAATAAATGACATACAGTTTGTGTACTGCATGTGAAAGTGATGGAGTTTGGGAGGAAAGGCCAGTATGGTGCCACTGCATACCTCGGGTCCCGAAACATCAGGTGACTCAGATCAGTGGAAAGATCCAATACTTACTTCCGACAGATCAATTGTACATGCACAAGATAGGGCCTTCTGGCTTAGCAGCAGCCTGTGTTACAGGACTTTGGGTTTTGGCTGATGGTAGTTGGTGATGAGGACACCAAAAACACATGAACTCACAAACCTACAAAGATGTCTGGCTTGAGGTCTGGTAACAGCAGAGTGTTCTCAGTGTCCATGCCCTGTTAGACAGGAATGCGGGAACCTGCTCACAGGAGCATGACCATGATGGGCAAGAGCCTTGAACCTGGTGAGGCATGGCTGGGTGAGCTGGGGTCTGTAGCCTGGAAAAACAGATGTGGCACAGTGTGACAGCTGCCCCATCACTGAGGTGGCCATGTGGAAGATAAAGTGGCCTGACTCTGTGTGGTTCCAGCAGAAAAAAAGGTGGCCTCGGTCTGCAAAAACTGAGAGAGAGAAGAACCTTCTACAAAGGTGGCCCAGATGGGGCATGGGATGGTAGTGAGCGCCCTGCTGCTGGAGACGGCAGGGATGTTGTACAAAGAGGAGTCAGCAGATCAGCGGCTGGGATTCAGGACCCTGCCTTCTAATCACTCAGCGGGGAGAGATAGAGCCTTTTCCTCACATTAATTATTGCTTACTTCCTCAACTGTGTTGCCACCTTGTTAAGAAGGCTGATTAGGTTGGAATAGGTCATGTGATGGAATTAATTTGTCCTGCTTGGGCTCTTCCAGACTCCGAGTGAAGTGCAAATCCCTAGGGGCCAATGCCTGGCTGGCTTTTAATCAGGCTGATCAAACTTCAGCCCTCGGAGCTTTTAAAAGACAGGGAATCAAAGAAAAATATGCCCAACCATACTGGTCTTACTCCACACAGTTAAACAGACCCCAAGCCTCTACTGATGTGACTGGTGCTCATATTGAGTTGTGGGCACGCGATCTCTGTGTACTCATGCTTTTCGCCCTGAGTTGCACAGGTGAGGTCACGGGCCCAGTTACCTCTGCACTGCAGGGGACAGAGGTTGGGGTTTGACTAAAGGGCACGGTAGGACTGAATTTTCACGTGAAAGCACTGAACAAATGTACGGGGAGAGTTGGGCCAATTCTGTACAATATTCCAGGACACTCCTCTTAACCAAATACTGAATGGATTCCTAGGAAAGCTGCCGAGCAAGCACACAAATAACTGCCCAGGTGGTGTGGCTGTGCTGTCCACAGTCTGGCCTTAGCAGATAGGATTTCAGTACACAGAGATGTGTTTGAACCCGAATTCTTGTTCTGGAATGATTGTGTAGAAACAGCCGCAATGGCTGTGGATGCCAAGCTACCTTCCTTGGTCAGGCTTGCTGTAAAGGAAAGGCATGATTTTTTTGTTTTTTTGTTTTTTGTTTTTCGTTGTTGTTGCTGTGGTTATTTGTCATTTCTTCTTCTTTTTTAAAAAATCAACCAATTAATTAATTTTTAAATTTACATCCAAGTTAGTTAGCATTTAGTGCAACAATAAGGAAAGGCCATATTTATCCTAAAAGCCAGGATCTGCAGATCTTGCTGGAGCACGGACTGACGGAGTGAAGACGAGGGCCTGCGGCTCTCCTCATTAAGCAGGACATCTGGCCATCTCATCCCTGAGTGTGTCCAGGAGGCGATGAGCTTGAAATCAATTTAGCCTGCTGCATATTTGATTTCCTAGGGTCCACTCGCCTTGCGAGGAGACTTCATCAGAACTGCAGCAGGAGATCGCCATGGAGACCAGAGGACTGGCTGAATCCAGGCGAAACTCCTCAACCAGCCAGGGGCCTGCCAGGTAACCCACCAGACTCAGTGCTCACCTTGGGAACGGGGAGACTGAGGCAGGAGGAAGGTAGATGAGTCTCAGGAAGAAACCAGGAGGAGGGGGTGATGGAGAGGTGGAGGTGGTGTTGAAGATGCGGAGAAGAAGGGGGCAGGAGAAAAGCAGTCAGCAATCTATCACTGAGTAATTTCCTCTCAGGTCAAGTGTTCTGAGGCTCAGAAAAATCTAAGAAAAACTGCTGTTATCTGAAATTGCTTTCATATAAAGTGATATTGAGGTACTTGCTCAAATCTGGATGAATTTTTTAAAAATCCAACAAGGCAGGGTTCCAAAAAGAATTGAGAAAAAAGACCAGCCAGCCTTGGGAGACCACTGGTGGACCTCAGTGGCATGCAGGCGGTACTAGTGGCACTGTCCAAAATAGCCTTGGCAGGTCCTCACAGGTTCACGTCCAGACTTCATTGCATGCATCTTGCAGAACAATTGGAAAGCTTATCCAACCTCCGAGCTGATGGCATCTGCACTCGGGCTTCAAGAGCCATGCCAGCTTAAAGAAGTCATTTCAGGGGCGTCTGGGTAGCTTAGTCGGTTGAGTGTCCGACTTTCCCTTAGGTCATGATCTCGCGGTTTGTGGGTTCGAGCCCCGCATCGGGCTCTGTGCTGACTGCCAGCTCAGAGCCTGGAGCCTGTGTCTCCCTCTCTCTCTGACCCTCCCCTGCTCACGCTCTCTCTCTCTCTCTCTCTCTCTAGAAATAAATAAAAATATTTAAAAAATAAATAAAAAATAAATAATAAAAAAAAAAAGAAGTCATTTCACCTTTCCAGGTCTCATCTGGAAACGCATCAAACAATCGGAGGGCTGCATCTGAGCCGAGGGCTAAGTCCCAAAGGGGCTCAACAAATGTGGAGCTCATTATTTCCTTCAAGCAAATTTTTTTTTCTACTAATGCCAGAGTTTTATATAATCACGGGCTCTACAGTTTTTGCTTAAGATTATTGCAAAAGTTAATTTGTCTAGTTATTCTTCATATTTTTCAATGCGGAGTAATGTTTCTTTCACCAGCCTCTTATAGGTGGGCATTTATGATTTCCAGTGTTTTTGTCTTACTGATAAAATGTGGTCTTAAGGCTCATTGATTGCAAGGAAAAGGACACCTTCAAACCAGCTCAAATCGAAAGGCCTTGGGTAGAGCTGAGATAGGAGGCTGATACAAGCTCAGAAAGACCATTCCGTGGAAAGGGAGCCAAATGGGGCTCACGAGAGGGGAGCGGGGGAGGCACCTGCCTCTCCCTTTCATTTTCTCCTGGAGTGGCATGATCGTTGTGATTTATTTTTTCTGCGTGTGTTCTCTGTTTCAGGCTTTCTCTGTTCACACATCAGCAGACACAGGCTGCTATACGATCTTGTGTTGAAACACCCAACCCCATCCTGGAGTGGCTTTTAATTCAGAGGCTTGAGTGACCCTCTGTGAGTCACTTGTCCATTCCTGCACCTGTTGGCTGAGCTGGAGTGGGGAGTATGACCTTGGTTCCAGCCCCTCAGCAAAGGGAGATTGAGGGGTGGAAGGAGTGTCCAGAGCAGAGAGGCAGGGCTGGGCAGGCACCTCAACATACATCTACAGCATCTGTAAACATCTCTGAGCATAGAATGTTTCCTTGCTTTACCTTATTCTCTTCGGCAAAGCTCCCAAGTGTGCGATTAGGGTGAAGGCATGTGACAACTCATGACTTGGTTCTAGGTTGCTCAGAACTTACTTTGCTGGGAACAGTAGCATGCTCTGTAGGTGCCAAATCAGGGAAACCAGATGCCAGGAAAGAGGGTTCAGGCTCTCTTCCCATTCCCCTCTGGAGGAGACAGGGGAGGCAGGAGGCAGGGCTGAAGGAAGGCTTCTTGCGGAAAGCTGGAGCTAAGGTGGGACCTGGAGACATGGACTGGCTGGTCTCGGGTGCTTGAGGGCCTGGCGGGGTCTGGCTCCAGAAGGGTGAGGGCAAGCTGCAAAGAAACTTGTGCACAAGCCTGGGGAAGAAACAAGAATCTGCGTAACAAATAATAAGACAAGAGTTAGGGAAAGAAACTAAGTTGTTTCTGGGTGCTTGTTCCCTTAAACCTTGTTCTAAATTTTATCATCATTTGCAAATTGTATTTTTTCTATTCTGGTGCCTACCAGTTATAAAGAGCTCTACAAAAGGACTGTAAGCAGAAAAGCTGCTAATTCCCCATTTGAAGGATCATGCCTTTAGCAGAGTCCGTGCGTTAAAAGGACAAAGCCATAATGAAGACAATACTCCTCATCTAGAAAGCTCTGTCCCAAACTGCGGGTGGTGGAGGAGCAGGAAATAAGGCCCCAGCAGAGTGGAGGTGCACATCTAAGCCTGGAGTCCCGGCAGTCATCTCTGCTTCTGCCCCAGCCCTAGAAAAGAGAGCTTTCCATCTCCTTCCTCCCTGAACTGGCTGCCTGTCTATGTCCTTCTAGGTTGTCTCGTCTGATCATCTCGCTGCGAGCATGGGCCACCAGGCACTTACACCATGAGGACCAGAGGCCTGACTCCTTCCTGGAGCGTTTCCGTGGAGCTGAGCTCAAGGAGGTGTCCAGGCGAGAAAGCAATGCACAGTCTAATGCGGGCAACCAGGAGCCACCAGACAGAGGGAGAAGGTAAGGAACCAAAATGATGGGCCATCTGTACCAGGTGAAGCATGGCTTTGCTCCTGCAGCTGAGATCTACCGTGGGGGCAGCCTGGAACACCAGCCTCATGACCTGTACCTTGAAGAAGGTGTCTGTCGTGGCGGAATACTGCATGTTCTGACAGTGGCCACCCCGAGTCCAAGAAGGATTGCAGGAGAGGAAATCCTTTAGCCAGAGTCCCCGGCCTCATCTGACCTTGCACAAAGTTCCCACCAGTGCCCCCTGGAATTGGTGCTCTCAGAAACACATCTGGGGATGCTGGCCTCACTGATCTCTCTCCATCAAGGGGCCTTCATCCTAGATTGCACTGTGACCCATTTTACTAAAAACCAGGGCCTAAATAATACCATAAGCCTTGAGACTACCTAAATGGTACCCACAGTTTATGCATAGGTTTACATACAGTCTTCTGGGAGGGAGGTCTGAAGGTTGATCAGAACCTTCAAGAAGAACCATCTGTATCCCAGATTGGAATAAGAACCATGGGGTTGAGGACTGTAGGTGGGATAGGATGGGGGATGGGGAGAATGTTTGCTTGTTTGGTAGGAGAACGGTCTGCGGAACAAAGGCTCTGAGCATCTTCCTGCATGGCCCGCTGTCCACCTGGAGGCTGTGGCTGATGCCGTCTCGTATAGATATAATGAGAGGAATCTGCAGGTCCCGACTCACATCCCCCAGTCCCACACCCGACACACACAGCTGCTGCCTCCCCTCCTTTCTTGTCCTCGGGAAGTCTCCCCAGCCTGTGATCAGCAGGGAGACCACTGGGCCACTGGGTGCCATTGAGGGCCATTGAATTGAGTGTGGCAGCAGCAGAATGTCTCTTTAGGACTCTCTGGGCTGTCGGAGGGAAGAAGAGGGACATGGAGGGGGAAGCTGATCGCCTCTGAGCCTCTCAAACAGGAAGCCTCTTGCTCAGAATCTGCTTCCTGAAAAGGGGGGCTTAGAAAGATCTTTTGGCTGAATTCTGTAGATAATGCCAAAATTTGTAAGATGTAAAGGTGAAAACAAGCCTGGTTATTGCAGAACAGACGGTCCCTATATAATTGGTAGAGAAAATCCTGTGTGTTTTTGTGTCAAATGAGCAGAAGAAGGGCTCAGGTGTTGAGTCTCTGAAACAGGCATCCAGAGCCCTTGGGGAGTGAAGGTCATGAGGCCTCAGAGGAAACAGGATGGATCTTCCTGGTATTTCCATTTTGCCTCCATATTTGTATGTATGTGTTACAGGTTTATTATAGATTATGCAGAAAATTGCAAAATGTGCAAACATATCTAAGATAAGATATGACAGTTCAAGGAAATTTCTTGCTAGCAGCCACTCTAGGGAGCCATGTTTAGTTTCCCTGCTGGGAAACGTGTAACAATTGGCTGGCTGAGATTAAAAGGCCTGGCATTTTAGGGCTCAGGTTTTCACCTGGGCTTAGACCACAAACCCTTGGGCTTTCTGGGCTTGGGGAGGGACTGCCTCGGGCCTGGGTGCTAGTGGGGATGGGCTGTGTGCAGGGTCATCCCAGGCTCCCAGGGCCAGGCATCCTAGACTGAGAGGGATCTCCATGCCTGCAAGGCCGGCGTGCTGTTCGCTGCTGAGCCATAACGAGAGGATGGATGGCAGATAAGGGAGAAGAGAAGATGGAGGAGGAGGAGACGGGGACAGAGATTTGCTATTGAGCCAGCCAGAGTGGTCCAGTTCCTGGTGGCAAGCAAAGACTTCCTTTGTTAACTTGATCAAATTATCCTCTCTACAACCTTAGCCTAATGAAGATGAACATTAGCCTCTTTGTCCATTTCCCAATGTGACCAGATGAGCAAAGACTTGGGCTAGGATTCCATCAGGACCAGGTCCTGACTGGACCACAGATGTCTGGTCACTCGCCCGAGGGTTCAGAGGGGGTAGGCACATGCAATGGTCCAGGCTAGTGGCTGATCAATCAGAGAGGCTTCCTGAGGGAGGTACACTTTGGATTTTCCAGGCAAACTCATTGGCAAAGCAAAGTATATGCAGAGACAGGCCTTGGTTATTCTATTGGTTTGTCCTTATGAGATCCCAGACACAGAGATGTGGTAAACATGGGCCACTGCATCCCAGGGAGCTACACTCTCTTTCCTAACTTCATAGGAATTAGGAAATTGCTTGGGCAGAGGGGGTGAGGGGTGGGGGGTTCTGGTGATCAAAACCAATCCCAGCCACGTAGTAGATGGTGAGAGGGAGGCTTGAGCAGGGGTGAGCAGAAATACCAGGATGGCATTTGGCTGGATATTAGCATCACAGAAGAGCAGAGGTGCCGTGAGAGTCAGACAGGCGGATCACAGGCCACTGGCTGCTCTGTGAGGCCATGCTGGCTTCCTTAAACTAGCTGTGTCAAAAATGGCTAATGGCAATTGAGCACTCTGAGATAATAGCTTTCTCTATAGAACACCACAAAGGACCGTGCGATTCAGCTTTAAATAAACATGTAGTTGGGTGCAAAACCAGCCTCCACTTTCTAGCAGACTCTCACATAGATCTGGGGTGGCAGGCCCTGAAGTTTTAAGATTAATGTGGGGACAAGGGCCCAGGGCAGGATAGATTCAAATCTGGGACAGTTCTGCTCATGGTCTATTTTTTGCCCTGCAAGCCGGGAGTGGCTGCTGTGATTGGGTTTTCTTTCTTTTTTTTTTTAAATGGTTTTTTTTTTTAATGTTTTATTTATTTCTAGGAGAGAGAGAGAGAGACAGCGTGAGCAGGGGAGGGTCAGAGAGAGAGGGAGTCACAGACTGAAACAGGCTCCAGGCTCTGAGCTGGCGGTCAGCACAGAGCCCGACGCGGGGCTCGAACCCACGAACCGCGAGATCATGACCCGAGCGAGAGTCGGATGCTTAACCAACTACGCCACCCGGGCGCCCCGTGTGATTGGGTTTTCAAGGGAGGGTCCCTTTGGAGAGCCCCTGCCTGCGCAGATGAGAGGGCAAGTTGCTGCTGCTGCTGCTGTGACGGTTCTGGTGCCGAAGGTGCTCGACGCACTCCACCTGAGTGTACCCAGCGGGCAGGTACCACGTAGGGTTCACGTCTGCATCCCTTGTAGCTCCTGGCACACTGTTAATCTGAATGAAGTGGGGTGGAACTTGAGGCCAGGATTCTGGTGGGATGCGCATAGTTAACCCTCATTTATTCAGAAGCCTCAGTTGAGTCAAATGTTCATCCTCTCTTCCCCTTAGAGCTAGTCAAAAATTGTTTGTCCTGATAATAACAACACTCCGGGTCCTTCGAGCTGTATGAAAAGGCCCGGGGGACAGGGAGCGGGGGTGCTGACATAACCACCTGGGGCGAATGGTCCCCAGCAGTTGGACCTGAGTTCAGATTCCCGTGCCACGTTCTCTTTACTTTCCTGCAGTGGCTGGCCCCTGGCCAGAAACAACAGCAGCACCTGCAACCACTCAGAGGAGTGAGTACCTCTGCTCCCCGGCAGAGCCCCCTCGCCCTCCCTGGTCCCACAGGCCACCTTCGTCCCCGTAGGTGTCCCAGCTTTGCCTCCCTGCTTAAATGCTTCCGCTTCCCATGTTTCCAGAACACGACTAGACCATTCTAGAATCTTGTCCCTTTCTCTGAAATTCCATCTCCATGGACAAATGGGGAAGAGACCTGGTCTGTATGACTTCTTTGAGCAAGTCACCTACTTTCTCTCCCTCGTTTTTCTTATCTATAATGCATACATCGTTTAAGGTTTGACATACTCTATCGCTATGTATCTGAGGGTGCAAACTCGGAGTCTCTTTACAGAGCGGTGGGTATTCTCCTTCATCATGAGAATGCATTTTCCACCCTACAACCCCAAGCCCCAGGGTGCCAGCGAAATGCCCTTGTCATAAGGCCAATTCGGGCCAATTTGGAGGGAGTCATTAGGGCAATGGGAAGAGGAAATTTAAATACTGTATTGCCAGATCATAGCCTCTTGAAATGCTGACCTGCTGTAATTACTTTTTATCACCAGACGCTGAGCTGGCAGATAAGTTTAATGTGTGATTCTGGCAAGTGCCACTCAAGAGCCCAGGGAGGAAGTGTGCGTGCGTATGTGTGTCTGTCTGTCTGTGTGTGTGTGTACACTGTTCTCCAGTCTTCTTTATGGAATATCACAGGGGCAGCCACTGGAGGGAGTCTCAGTTGGAGCTTAGGGAAAAAAACCATCAATATCAGCAAGAAATCCAAATTTCCAACTGAGGAGAAATGTGCCAAGGCTTTTTCTTATTTCCCTTTCTTCCTTGGATAGAAGTTTTTCCCATTTCCCTCCATGAAACTTAGTTGCATTTTGTCTGCAGAAATGTGGATATCGAATCCAGAGACCCAAATGCCAGCAATCAAGATAAATGAAATTATTTAATCTGCAAAACAGTAACTATTGTGATACGTGCTTGATCTAAAGCCAAACTTGATATCAAATACCCTTGAAACCCCCATGTTGAGTCCCACAGTCAGAGAAAGGCTCAGGGCACTGGAAACCATGGACAGAGGTTCCGTAGGTCTCTAGGCTTCTCTCTTCTGGGGCTGGAATGTGGGCTAGGATGGGGGTGGATGGTGTTGGCTATATCAGGTTCTTATAAATCTTTTCAGATGGGTTCAAATCATGGATCCACATTGCAGGCCAACGACCGAGGAACAAAATTGTGAACTGTCCCAAAATGTGACCATCTGGGCACAGAGTTACAGAAATAATTCTTATGGACACCCTTTCCCATTCTTCCACCATGTTTCTGGCATTTTAACTTAGTTCCATGGGTCCTGAATAATTTTTCTGTCTCCCAGAGCAAACTGTTCCCAGCCCAAACCGTCATCGTTTGCAGCTCTGTATAGGTTTTTTGGGGTAGTGCTGGGTGGATTGGGGGATGCAGTTGGATGGCGGTGGGTCTTTCATAGGCCCACAGCAGGTTGGTAACCTCCCCGCCGTTCCACAAATTGTGGTCTGATGTAAACTCCCAGCTGGTCTAAGCATGCCTGATAAGCTTGTGGGCAGCGCCCTCTGCTGGTGCGTTGACATTAGGACTTCAATGGCCGAAAACCCTTCAAGGGACCCTCCATCACAGATTCAACAGGACAGAGGATGGGTGACTGTCCTTGATTTTCTCATTTAGCAAGTTTAATAATTTTTCATTTTTATTCAGTTTATTCATGTACTCACTGTCAAAAACTTGGAAAATACAGAAAAGCACCCATGAGCATACACCCTCAAAAAATATACTTCATTTTAACAGTGGAATCCCATTATCAGAGATTACATCTCTTAACATGTTGGGAAATACCCCTCCAAGGTTTTCTATATATATTGAATATATAGATAGATATATAGACAGAATATATTACATATGGAAATATAGAATAGATACTGGTATATATTATAATAATTATATATTGTATATAATAATTATTTTATTGTTACAGTTACACATAATTACATATATGATATGTTTATATATTACACATAATTACATGTATATGGTATGCTGTTTAGGTGCATTTGTATCCCAATTCAGCCACAAAGAGCTTTGTGACCATGGGCAAGTTACCTGACCTCTCTGTGCAGGAGTTTCCTGACTTATAAAGTAGGGCTTGTATTAATGTTTTACTTACAAGGTTGTATGAAGACTAAATGTGCTAATACATGTACCATGCTTAGAACAGTGCCTGGTTACATAGTAAGTGCTCAATAAATACTGACTAGTGAGGTGAGCAGAGCAATTTCACCACCACCTCCTATAGACAGCTACACCCTAATCGTTGGAACCTGTGGAGAGGTTACTTTATATGGTAATGGGAACTTTGCAAACGTGATTAAATTTGAAGACCTTGAGATAGGGAAGTTGTCCTGGATTATCAGGTGGGCCCAATGTAATCACAGGCATCCTTAAAAGCANGGGGGGGGGGGGGGGGGGGGGGGGGGGGGGAGGAGAAGAGTGGGTCTGAGAGATAAATCGGAAGGAGAAGGAAGAGGAATTTTTATTGTAAGAAGGACCCCTGAATTGCTGGCTTTGAAGAAGGAGAAAGGGGGACACAAGACAAGGAATTGAGCAGCCTCTCAAAGCTGGGAATAGCCCTCCATTTTCCTCAGCAAGAAAACAGGGACTTACTTCTGCCCATAACCCCACTGAGCAGGAAAACAGGTTCTCCCCCAGAGTCTCTAGAAAGAAATGCAGCCTGCCGCTGACACCTTGATTTTCATCCAGTCAGACTTAGCCCAGACTTCCAGTCTACAGAACTATAAGATGACACATCCAGGTTGTCTTCAGCCACATTTGCTGTAATTTGCTAGGGCAGCAATAGAAAACTAATCACACCGCTTTTGATACCAGAGTGGGGGTGCCGCTGTAACAAAGTGGAAGTGGCTTCAGAGTAGACTCTAGAAAAATTCTGAGGAGCATAATTTTAAAAAGAAAAACCTAGATAGCTTTGAACAGGTTGGTAGTAGAAATGTGGACATTAAAGACTCTGCTGGTGAGAGCTCAGAAGGAAACGAGGAGCATCACGAAGAAAATCTGTTTTGCTGAAGCACCTTGTGCTTGAATGGTTGTAAACTGACTACCAGTAGAACACTGGGCTTTCAGGATGCTGCTGGTGAGGACTTGCAAATAAATGAAGAGCGGCCATTGGAAGTTGAAGAAAGGGGAATCTTGGTTGGTAGTGGCAGAAAGCTCAGTGCAATTACATCCTCCAGGCAGGTGGAAAGCAGACCGTTAGGCAGTGAGCTCGAATATTTAGCTGAGGATATCCAACCAAAGGTGTTGAAGGTGCAGCGTGGTATCTTCTTGCTGCGTGTGGTAAAATCCAAGAGGAGAGGGAGAAATTGAGGGAAGAACTTTAAACAAAAAGGAAACAGGACTTCATGATTTTGGAAATTCCCAGCCTACTCAAGTGGAAAAGATACTAAATTTTAAAAACTGTCAGAAAAGCGTGCTTTGAGAAAAGTCAAGGGCATGGCTGAAAACCCTTCCGGTAATACCTCAGAAAGATCAAACGTTCTGAGCATTCAACAAACAGCTCTCTGAAGCGATGAAGAGTGCGACTCATAGCTCCCCTCAGCCATCCCAGCAGAAGCCAAAAATGTAGAAGAGATTTCACAGATCTGAGGATGAGCCTCTTGTCTAACACAGTGAATCCCTCTGATATACATGACCCGCAACATTCTGGAAGATTCTATAGCAGCAGGAACACTGCCGGCTTGGACCGGAAGGGACGGAAGCAATATGGACGGGAGGAAGATTATGGGACCCCTAAATTCTAGACGCAGGAAACGTGTTGATTAGAATACTCAGCTGCAAACAGACAGGTGCTGCCTTTAACAAGAGAGAAAAGATGGCTCGGAAGGCAGAGTGCGGAGCTGTGAAAACCAGAGGCTTATTCTCAGGCCTTAAGATGGAATCACTATTGCCCCAGGGTGTTTCAGAATTGCTTGGGACCAGTGACTTTTCTGCCTTTCGCTCTTCTCCCTTTTTGAACTGGAATATCTAGAACTGATATCCTAAATCTGCCCTTCCATTGTATCTTCAGAGCAGATGCTTTGTTTTAGTCTCACAGGATCACAAATTGAGCAACTCATGCCCTAGGATGATTCACACCTAGAGTCTCCCCTAGACCTGATTTAAATGATAGAATTTGGGACTTTTGAGCTGATTAGAATCTGATGATACTTTCGGACTCTGAGTCAATTCATTAATGGGATGAAACTTTCAGGGGTCTTGGAATGAGGGTGAACACATTTAGCCCATGGGATGGATGTAAGTCTTTGAGGGCCAATGGACAGACTGTGGTAGGTGGCATAGTGGCTCCCTCAAATGTCCATGCCTTAATCCCCACCACCTGTGACTACCTTACCTCACACTGCAGAAGGGACTTCACAGATGTGATTAAATTTCAAGACCTTGAGATGGGGAAATTATCCTGGATTATCAAGGTGAGTCCCATCTAATTACAGGCTTTATTAAAAGTGGAGAACCTCTCCAGCTGCAGAGAACCAGAGGGACGGCATCTCGAGAAGGACTCTACCTCTTGCTCCTGACTTTGAACACACAAGAAAGATGCCAGAAACCAGGCATGCAGTGCCCTCTGAAAGCTGGGAATACCCTCAGCTTCCAGCCAGCAAGAAAATGAGCTTCTCCGTCCTCTTCTTGCAAGCAATTAAATTCCACCAACAATCCAAGTGAGCAGGAAACAGATTCTCTCCTGGAGTTTTCAGAAAGGATCATGGCCCTGCTGACACCGCAATTTCAGTTTTGGGGGGACCCGTAACAGACTTCTGACCTACATATCTGCAGCTTGAGTTGTTTTGGGTTTTTTTTTTTTTTTTTTTTTTGAGAGAGAGATAGAGACAGCATGAGCAGGGGAGGGTCAGAGAGAGAGGGAGACACAGAATCCAAAACAGGCTCCAGGCTGTGAGCTAGCTGTCAGCACAGAGCCCAATGCGGGGCACGAACCCACGAACCGTGAGCTCATGACCTGAGCTGAAGTCTGAGGCTTAACCGACTGAGCCACCCAGGCACCCCCCGCTTGAGTTGTTTTAAGCCATTAAATTTCTGGCAGTCTATCTGGCAGCAATAGGAAGCTCATAAAGCTATTATTCTAAGCTCTTTTGCAGTCTGCTTTTAACTTGTCAAAATACTAAAAATGTTTTCCTGTGTCACTGGATATTCTTCCACAACATCATTTTAAGCGACCTCCTAGAATTCTGGGGTTGATGGATCTCCTCCTGTTGTAGGATGAGATTGCTTATGCTTTTGACTGGTAGAAATAATGGTAGTGATTATTTTTCTGCACGCACGTTTGCACACATCTTTGATTATTTCCTTAGGAAATGCTGTGTGAAGTATATTGGTCTTTTTCAATGAGTGTTTAATTAGCAGACACTTATTTTTCAGCCTGTGACTTGCCACAGGTCTGTGGATGAGTCTAGTGGGTTCTCCTGAGGCAGGCAGGGTCTCTTATCTTTTCCCTTGGTTTTCTCAATTGTTTGATGGGCAATAACACTTGCCTTGCAGACCTAATATAACTATTAATGCATACCTTTATAAGAGCGCTAACCCATAAAGATGTACAATAAAGAGGAAGCTGAGTAAAGCCATGTGTTGAGGAGACACTCGCAATCAAGAACCATCCTGCAGATGTGGACAGAAGGGGGCTATCCAGCCCCCAGCCTCACAGTCCAGCCAAGTCTGGATAAATGTCTGAACATGGTTGCATTCACCTCAGACGACGCCGAGATTTGCCTATTCCCGCCTGTGCAGATATTGCTTCCCTTCTCCTTGCTGGCTTTCTTATCAAGGACCAGCCTTTCATTTGATACAGACGGGTTTTAAGAACAGCCAACAAGCCATATCCTTCCGTTCAGAACGAAAAAACGTTACATGTGACTTCCAAAAGTCCAAGTGACTTTTCCACTCTAAATGTGTGGATCTGGGTTCATTTGCCATTACCTCAAAATGGTCTCAAGCTCTTTGTGACTTCCTAGGAGCTCATGAAAATGGGTCAGAAATTGCAGAACATTAGACCACTATGGATACTTTGATGTATACAATGTATGCTTTAATGGGGCGGTTCACCTGTGGTGGGGGGAGGTTCACCTCACTCCTCAGGAATAATAGTAATAGTAACAAAATCAGTAACCTCCTGTCATCCCAGTGTGCTCGAAGTATCCGTTTCCTACACCTCACCCTCTCCTCCATGTCACTGTCGCCTACCCTCTCCATTGTGGTAGCATCCTTGGCCTAGGAAAATTGCTAAATGTCACCCTGTATCATCCAGTGACAAGGCGAAAAAGGAGGAGAAAGAGAAAATGGAAGAAGAGAAAAAGAAACACTGCACAAAACAAGAGGAGTAAGTACTGAGAAGAGAGGGTGTGTGGTTGCAGCAGGCTTGATCCCTGTCCAGGTCCTGTGAGTCTGAGAGCCTCGTTGTCAGACCTTATTATCGGCCCTGGAAAGGGGCTGCCTAGGGCTGCTGGAGCCGAGTTGGGCCCAGGTGGGGATCAGGCTTCCTGAGATGGTGTTAAGGGCTCACTCGCTCTATAGGAAGAGTCCTGTCCCAGCTCTGAGCACCAGAAGAGGGATATTAGGTAAAGATGGCTGTCTGCAGCCTTGGTGAGCAATCAGGGACTGTCCCTGGGAGTCTGCTCCTGTGCCCACCTCATCCCCACCCCCGCCCCTCCCAGCATTCTGTTTGCCTGTCTGCACAGTCGTGGTAAACTGAGGCTTAATCCTGGGCATTAGAATATTCTATATTCATAAACTTTGCTCCACACGCCAGGGTGGTGTGCACTGGGAACATTCCAAAGCCCTGTCAGTGAGCTGTGGATCTTGCACCTGCTGAGTCAAGGCAAAGATGGAAGGCATTCCGGCATCTCCTTGGGGGCATGAGAGCAGCTTGGCAGACGTGGGCCGGCACGTGGGACATACAGGGTGGGGGAGAACACACATAGGGCCAAAAAAAAAAAAGAATCTCCAGTACCATCTAGAAACTCTAATCCTCAGAAAATCCTGACAATAAAAACAGAAAGCACCCTAAGCTACTGCTTCCTTTGGTGTTGGCCCACATACCCTAGAAGATTCCCAGGCTAGTTGTTTTTGGTAGAGAAGATGGCTCCAAGTGCTTGGAAGTGTCTTCAGATCACCTGCTCAAATGCAGTTAGTGAGTCAGTGACTCCCTCGGGAATGCCACGGGGCTCCCAAATGCAGTCCAGAGAGGAGCCGCCTCAGAACCACCGGGCAGTGTTTAAATGCACATTTTCAGGCCCGAGTCCCTGAGGGGGTGGGCCCTGGGAATCAGCGTTTCATAGAGCTCCCCTAGATGGTTCCAACGTTACCATGCAGCATTTTATTCCCAGCACACTGAAGGGTGCGGGTGATACCACAGGCACATGGGAAATCGTCACCATTATTTTATTGTCAACTGTGGCTTCCTAGGGAGCTGAGCTTGGAGGGAAAGACCTCCAGAGTCTGCCTTCTCCCAGCCTGTCCCCCTGTGAGGGGACACCTCATGTGACCCCCTGAGACTAATAGGACCTGTCTCTCAAGTTTAGCCAGCAGTCACCCCAGGGTCTCTAAGCTAATCCAGGTCTCTAAGACCCTCCAGCACGGCGATTTTCAACACACTGCACTGTTTGTGTGTCGATGTTAGCAGAAACAAGGACACCATGGTGGTGGACCCCTCCAGCAATGTGTACTACCGCTGGCTGACTGTCATCGCCCTGCCTATCTTCTATAATTGGTGTCTGCTGGTATGCAGGTAGGGATATGGGGCAGCATCTCCTCGTGGGCAGGGGGAGGGGTAGAGGGCAGGGAGGGGTGAGGGCAAGCCTCAAGACAGAGCTCTGAGTCCCACTGAGGGGGCTGGATTTCTGGTCCCCACATGGCCACCATCCAACTGAGTGTCCCTGTTTCTCCATCTGTAAGGAGGCTCTAAAAGACCACCAGTGTTCTCTGAAGCCCTGGTGGGGCCTCTGCTTGCTATGGACAGCAAGGGTCAGGTCACCTTAGTTGGGGCCTTCTTAGTTTGGCTATAGGAGGAAGATGCAGGGCCAAGTAGCTACCCTTCTGAGGAGAAGTGGGCGGGGGGGGGGGGGGGGGAGGCTGGGCATTCCTGAGCAGCCTGCAAGGCAAGGATGCAGTTCTCTGCCTGGAAGCTATGGGCTGTGGGCCTCCCCAGGCAAGTTGCTGTGCCGGGATACAAGCTGCTGCTCTTGTCAGAGCAGCCAGGGCCTTTGGGGTACTCCTGGGAAGGTCTGCAGGACAGAGATGCAGGGTGAGGGTGTACAGGGGCTTCAGGAAATCCCTTGCAAATGTGCTTCTGGGATGCAAGGGTGAGCTATTGTTCTTCTGGGGAGAAGTGGAGGCTCTGGAACTTTTCTAAACAAACTGTAGGAGGCAGGTGCAGGGTAAGCTGCTAACTCCTCTAATACGGGGTCAGGGAAGCAAGGGTTTAGGGTCTCCTGTGAAATCTGAGTTTTGGGAATACAGGGGCAAGATGCTGCTTCTCTGAGGGGAAGCTGGGGGCCTGGGCTTTCCTGAACAAATCTACAGAATGGGGCTGCCAAGGGGCTATGTTCTTCTGAGGGCAAACAGGACCTTTGAGGTCCCTGAGCAAGCTGCAGGACAGAGATGCAGCTCCCTGTGGGCAAGGGGCTTTGGGGCCTTTCTGAGAAAGTCTGTAGGAGAGAGATGCAGGGATACCTTGTTTCTCCTCTGATGGGGTTGGTGGGAGTCTGTGTGGCGTTTCTGGGTAAGGTACAGAGCCCTCGTTTCCTAAGTGGTGGGCTTTGCAGCCTTCCTGTGCAAGCCAGGGAGACAGGTATGCGGGGACAAGCAGCTGCTCTTCCCATGGTGGGCGGGGCTTGGGCACTTTGCAGGGTGAGGGTGAGGCTATGCTTCTGAGGGGTTCGGGGCTTTGGGAAGTTTCTGAGCAAGCAGTTCGGGGACAGAGAGACAAGCTGCTGCTCTTCTGGAAGTACGTGAGAGGTTTTGGGGCTTTTCTAAGCAAGCTTCTGGACAGAATAAGGGGAAGCTGCTACTCTCTGAGAGTCAGTGAGGGAGTTGGGAGCCCTTTCAGGCAGGCCTTTAGGACAAGGGTGCAGGCTGACCTGCAGGGAAGGTATGGGGGCTTTGGGACAATCCTGAGCAAGCCTGCAAGATAGAGAGCCGCTGCTTCTGTGGGGAAGGGGAGGAGACCCACTGCTGTCTGGGCGTAAGAGGGGGCTTTGGGGATTATCTGAGTAAGGGGGGCATTTCCTGCTGTTCTGAGGGTAAGTGTGGGAGTGAGAAGGGGGAGAACCTGGGGCTGTCCAAACCCGCCTGCAGGATGGGGACATGTGGGCAAGCTGCTCCATGCAAGCGTGGGGCTCAGGGGCTGTAGGGATGCCGCTATTCTGAGGAGGCAGCAGGGGGCTCCAGTTGCTGAGCCAGCTGCAGGGTGGGGACACTGGAGCTGGCTGCTGCTCTTTTGAGGTGAAGAGGTAGTTTTGGGGGGTGTGATCTGTATGAGACATAGTGAGCATAAAGATCTAGAAAGTAGAAAATATTTACTGGCTGGTTCAGATGCTCATGTCTGAGCAATTCTTGATTTTGTTGGCATTTGACCCCAGAAAGGGCAAGTGCTCAGTCTCTTCCCGTGACTCCACTGGTGAGGCCTAGAAAAACTGCCCTTCCTGGGATCTCAGAGCTTATTGTTGAGAGGCAACAAGGGCCCACTCTGTGGGGTCCATCCCAGCTCTTCGCAGGAACTCTGTGACCTTGGGACAGAAAAGCTTCTCAGAGCTGGGTCTCCTCATCAGAGTCTGGGGTGATGACACTGGGGCACGAACCCTGCAGGCAGGGCTGATACCAAGATGAAGGCACAGAGCTGGTGCCTGCATTGGACCCAGCCCCCGATGCACCCACTCCTTCCCTCTTATGTTTAGGGCCTGTTTCGATGAGCTGCAGTCCGACCACGTGATGCTGTGGCTGGTCCTGGACTACTCAGCAGATGTCCTCTATGGCTTGGATTTGCTGGTGCGAGCTCGGACAGGTGAGTGGGCCCAGGCCCAGGGACTTCTCAGGGCCAGGCCACAGACTGACTTTATGCATCAGGACGGGGACCACGGGGACCACAGGGCAGGTTCAGGAGATCCAGAGTGGGGAACATTACCTACCTCTGACCACAAGAGCCCAGGCAGGTCTGAGGGTGTTCCAGTGGCAAGGGCATGTACCTCCTCAAGCTCTCTCTACCACGACCCTTTAGCAGAGGTCAAGATGCCTGGGTTTTGGTCTTTCCTGTGCCAACAAACTCTGTGACCTTGAGCAAATCAAGCTATCTCTCTGGGCCTCATTTGTATCAGCTGTGAAATGAGACCAAACCATCATCTCTCAAAGGACCCTTCCAGCAGTGACCATTCAATGTCGCGGGAAACAGGAGGGAGATCTCTGTCAATCTTGGAGTCCCTTTTCCTGGACAGTCACAGGATCCAGGACATGTTACTCTGTGGCTTTTAGATATACAGAGGAATAAAATTGGAAACAGGGCCCAGGTGAATGATGACCTCCCTCAGATCACCTCTGGTTGTGAGTGGAGGCTAAAACCCCTTAAGCTCCAAGCTGCGCATCCTTGGGGTACCTTTTTCTGATCTGCACAAAGACATTACATCAGCTGGCAGAGGCCCAGCTCGCCACTTCCAAGATTTTTGAGCTAGAAACCGTGCCATAGTTGTCAATATAAACACCAACAGATCCCAGCAGCAAGCCTCTGTGTGGCTTCACAGTGTACAAAACATTTCAAGTACATCTTGTTTTCTCATTAGAACTGCTGCACAAGAAGAGGCACAAGCACGATTATCTCCATGTTGCCGATTGAGAAACCGAAGCCCACCAGCCCCTGGGTGGCTTACTCAATTGAGTGTCCAACTCTTGATTTCAGCTCAGGTCGTGTTCCCAGGGTCAGAGAATTGAGCCCTACAGTGGACTCCACACCAAGCGTGGAGCCTGCTTGGGATTCTCTCTTCCTTATCCTCTGCCTTTCTCCCCAACTCATCCTCTCTCTTTAAACTTAAAATCAAATCGAATCGAATCGAATCGAACCGAAACCTAGACCCAGAGAGTGACTGGCCTAAAGTCCACAGTCACTACTGCACAGGGCCAGACTGGCACCCCTGCTTCCACATGGTGCCCAACACCATAACTGAGAAGACCTCTAGTATGCAGCTTGAGGCTTGCGTGGGTAACTTAGCCAGTCCTGGTAGCCTGCCACTTTGTGGTCACATAAGCCTACCAAGACACAGGAACTCTGTGGGGCGGCCGACTCACTGAGCCAACTATCCCTATTTCACCCAAGCTTCAGTGGGACAAGTTACCTGCACTCAGACAGTGATCCCACCCCTTTCTGTGCTTGGGTACTGTCCCTGGCAATCTGAGATTCAGCAGAAAGCCTCATGGGGACGGCAGGTAGGCACAGAAACCAAGTGGCCATGGATTATATTCCAAGGGGAAAAATCTTTAGAATCGAGAAAAGATATTATTAAGAAAGTAGTGAGGAGCCCCAAGGCACTAGGAGTGCCACATAGCAATGTAAGTACTCAATAAACAAAAGGGTAACCAAAGAATGAAAGGGGGCATGGGGGACTGGAAGCAGGGTGGCCCTACCATGTGACAACAGACTTGAGGTTTGCTTTTCACAGGGGGCAGCCCTGCCTCCATTTAGCCCTCAAGTGTGGCCCTGGTTCAGCAGCAGCATCACCCAGACCTTGTTAGAGGTAGACACTGGACCTATGGAACCAACTTTGGGAATAGCCCAGCACTCTGGGTTTTACAGAGTCTTCCGTATGATTCTGATGCTTACAAAATCTAAAAAACATACATTATATTATTCTCTCTACTTTTGTTCATGTTTGAAAGTGTTTTTTTAAAAAAAGATGAAAGAATGCAAATCTCTGCCTATTTGATTGATTTCACCAGTAATAACGCCTAGTGACCGCCCCCCCCCCATGTCCAGCTCAGCTCCAATCTGATTCTTTGGAGGTGGATCTCAGCTTCATATGTTTTTAGAGCCCCTTGCATGACAGTAGTGTGCAGGCAGAGAGAACTACTGCTTCCCTATGCAATGTTTTTAAAAGGCAGGCCCTGCCCCATTAGGACTGGTGAAATCAGTTTTGTAGGCCATGACCTGTGCTCTTAAAATTTCTATCATTAATATTTTCCAAACATACACAAAATCAGAGACAGTAGTATCATGAATCCCCATGTACATGTCACCCAGCTTCAACAGTTATCAATATTTGCTAATGTTTCATCTATCTCCCTTTTCTTGGCTGAAATATCTTAAAGCCAATCTCAGACCACTTTAACATGTATCTCTAACTTTAAAAGATGCATTTTTAGAATATACATCCAGGGGCACCTGACTGGCTCAGTCAAAAGAGCACGTGACTCTTGATCTTGGGGTCATGAGTTCAAACCCCACATTAAGTGTAGAGATTACTTAAATAAATAAACCATATGTATATGTGTATATATACATATACATATATGCACACATACATACATATATGTGTATATATATGCATATATGCATAACACCAGTCCACATTCAAATTTATCCAATTAATCTACATTTTTAACTGAATAAAATAGGCTAGAGAATATCAGAGTGTATTTTCATAGTAATGGTAAATGTGGCTTTGGATATTTTTTCTGCTATGTATGTATAATTATGTCTTCTTTAGTTAAGGTGTATAATATCTTTCTGTGGGCCATGGTTAAAGAAAAAAGGCAGCTTCCTTCCATGCCCAAGTGACTTCCATCTTTTTCTTTAGGCTTCCTTGAGCAAGGCTTGATGGTCAAGGATGCACAAAGGCTGTGGAAGCATTACACAAAGACCGTGCACTTCAAGCTGGACATATTGGCCCTGGTCCCCACAGACCTGGCTTATTTTAAGTTGGGTGTAAATTACCCAGAACTGAGGTTCAACCGCTTACTGAAGTTTACCCGGCTCTTTGAGTTCTTTGACCGCACAGAGACAAGGACCAACTACCCCAATCTGTTCAGGATTGGGAACTTGGTATTATATATCCTCATCATTATCCACTGGAATGCCTGCATCTACTTTGCCATTTCCAAGTTCATTGGTTTTGGGACAGATTCCTGGGTCTATCCAAACATCTCAAACCCAGAGTATGGGCGCCTCTCCAGGAAGTACATTTACAGTCTCTATTGGTCCACCTTGACCCTGACCACCATCGGGGAGACCCCACCCCCTGTGAAGGATGAGGAGTATCTGTTTGTGGTCATAGACTTCCTAGTGGGAGTCTTGATTTTTGCCACCATTGTCGGCAACGTGGGATCCATGATCTCAAACATGAATGCTTCACGGGCCGAGTTCCAGTCCAAGATTGACTCCATCAAGCAGTATATGCAATTCCGCAGGGTGACCAAGGACTTGGAGACGCGGGTGATCCGGTGGTTTGACTACTTGTGGGTAAACAAGAAGACAGTGGATGAGAAGGAGGTGCTCAAGAGTCTCCCAGACAAGCTAAAGGCCGAGATCGCCATCAACGTGCACCTGGACACTCTGAGGAAGGTCCGCATCTTCCAAGACTGCGAGGCAGGGCTGTTGGTGGAGCTTGTGCTCAAGCTGCGGCCTGCAGTGTTTAGCCCAGGAGATTACATCTGCAAGAAGGGGGACATCGGGCGGGAGATGTACATCATCAAGGAGGGCAAGCTGGCTGTCGTGGCCGACGATGGGATCACCCAGTTTGTGGTCCTCAGTGACGGGAGTTACTTTGGGGAAATCAGCATCTTAAACATCAAGGGGAGCAAGGCGGGGAACCGCAGGACAGCCAACATCAGGAGCATCGGCTACTCAGACCTGTTCTGCCTTTCCAAGGACGATCTGATGGAGGCTCTCACTGAATACCCAGAAGCCAAGAAGGCCCTGGAGGAGAAGGGACGGCAGATCCTGATGAAGGACAACCTGATTGACAAGGACCTGGCTAAGGCTGGGGCGGACCCCAAGGATATTGAGGAGAAGGTAGAGCACCTGGAGTCTTCCTTGGACACCCTGCAGACCAGGTTTGCCCGGCTCTTGGCTGAGTACAGTGCCACCCAGATGAAAGTGAAGCAGCGTCTCAGTCACCTGGAAAGCCAGGTGAAGATGTGTGGGAGCAACCTTCTGTCTGATGAGGGTGCTCCTGGGAATGCTGCAAAAGCAGAGACCAAACAAGAGTGAAATGCAGATGTCCATCTCCTGCTTCCCAGAGTCAGCCATTGGTGTGATGCATTGTAACTGCAGCTGCACAGCCCAGGACTCAGCGGGGTTGCATTCCAGTTCTCCTTACCCTTTACAACCGTGTGGCCCTAGGAGAGAGCCTCGGTTTCCTCATCTAGAAAGGGGGACTCATGTCAGCCCCACTGAAGTGGCAGATTCCTGTGATGTCCACATGGAACACTACTTGAGGCAGGGCTTTGTATGTGAGGTGTCCCCAATCCATGCATACGGAAGTGTGGGCATAGAACTCTGATTTTTTTATCCATAAGGAATTTTTAGACTTTTGAACTTTATTTTCTTGTAAATGGAAGATTATTTAGTCATCCACCCCCTCCTGTACCCCACGCCACCACCTTCTGATAAGGGAGATATAACAGAAGCTAGAAGTGCAATGTGGGATCTCAAATGTATCCTTGCATGAGACAGATTGGGGCACATCTCTAAATCTGGTTTCTCCTCACGTACACTTTGGGACCCTCGAAATCCTGGCCCTTGATCATGCACAAGGGAAGAAGCTGGGTCACCCCATTTGAGGTCACTTTGAGCCTGTGAAGCAAATCCAGACTCCCCCACCATCCAGCCTCTGTGAACCCAGAATCTGTTTAGAAAAGGACATCTTGATGAGGGAAAGAGACATCTCCTAACTCACCAAGGGACTTAAAGACAGCCTCTCCCCCTCCTTCCTCAGTCAGGAACAGGGACAGCCTGTTCTGACTTGAAGAGGAGAATTATGTTCAGGAAGAGCCTTTCAGGTTGGAGGTTGGAATGAGGTCCTGCGTCAAGCAAAGCTGACAACTAGAATGTTTAGATCAGACCCTGAGGCCGTATCTTTGCAAACAGCCCCTCCTCTCAAAGAAGCAGCCTCACTCTCCCTTGGAATTCTACCTTGAGGCAAAGCTCTCAGCTAGCAGGAAGTGTGGACAGTGCAGGACCTAGCTTTTTTCCTTTTTTAATCTAGTAAATAGAATCCCATTACTATTTCTATATTTGGGTTCTATGATTGCGAATTATAACCTTAATGGTCCACGTAAATACACATTGTAAATTACCCAAAGATAAGTAATTTTTCTGTTGCAGAGAAGCCATATGTACAGGTTTCCTTCTCTGTCTCCTCCTTCCCTCCTCCCCCCTTCTTTCTTTCCTTCCTTCCTACCCTCCCTCTTCTCCCTCCCTCCCTCCCTTCCCTCTTTCTCTTCTCTTCCAACATCTCTTCTCAGAACACAATGCCCCACTTTGCTTTGGGAACTTTGAAACCTCTGTGGTCTGATGTTATAATCCGTACGCTATATAACTGGGCCCTAATGTAGTTCATACAAAAGGTGCTGCTTTTTCAAGTATGTATTTTGGTTTTATATGAGCCTCTTCTGGTTTTTATTATGGATAATTCGACCATTTTTTAAGTTTCTAAAATGAATTTAAAAGGACTATTAAAGGAAGATGTGATCCAAGCCCATATCATCAGCACTCTGTAACTAGCAACGTATTCTCCAAATGCATATATTTTAAAAAGCCTTAACTATTAACTATGCCTATGTTTATATTTGCACAAGAAAAATAGAGACTCGGATTTAAAAAACATTGAATGACTCCTGCTTCATATTTTGTTATAAGGGAAGATTCCGTTCTGGGATATGTGTAGGGCAGTGAGCCTACCTTCCCCTATAAAACAGACACCCGTGAATAGGGGACAATGCGCACTCCATGTGAGGGGAGCCAGAAGCAGCCAGAAGCATTGAGAAAATGCAACCAAAGCTGCAACATTTGTCAGAGGAAATAAGTTAAACCATTCAAATATATAAGAAGTGGATCTCAGGCAGGATGCTAAATTTCTTGGTATCATTTGTCCAGGATTGCCATCGGGGATGTTCAGGCAGTTTGGAAAGTCATGAGTGGGCAGGAAGTGCAGGTATGTCCCTGGTAAGCATGTCCCCAGATTCCTCCCACTGCTTATGCCCAAGGAGTTTAGGTGGTAAATTGGAATGTGGGCACTGGGGAGTCAGACCTAAGCTTGTTCAAGTCACAGCACCGCCACTCAGACAAGTTACTTTACTTTTCTGGGCCTTACTTTCCTCACCTAGAAGTGGGAACGATCCTGCCCACCTCACCTCACAAGGAATGATCCTGTGAATAAACTTCAAAATAACATAACATAATAGGCATAGACTTGTGAAACTCTTTTTGTGCAGAAAACATCACCTTGTTTTCCTTGAGAAATAAATGAATATGGCTTCATCTAGTTAATCTCCAGCTGCCCAGATTGTTGGGAGGTGGAGTCTTGGGCTGTTTTCAGGGCTTCTATTCACTGTCTTGGCACCTGAGACAGCCACTTGTGTTCTCAAAGCCACTGGAGGCCATCCCTCTTGCTGCACTGGGTTCAGCCACAGGCAGCTATGTTGGGAGACAGCTTTGTGCCTTTTGTGGGAGTCTAAGCTCATGGAAGTGTGTGTGTGTGTGTGTGTGTGTGTGTGTGTGTGTGTAGAGTGTCCCTGAGACAGGAAAAGAAGAAAATATTGGTGAGCACTTCTCCAGGTATGTAGGGATGCAGACTCCCTCTCAGAATCCTAGGGACGTGGGAAACAGAGGATCTCAGATGAGAAGAATGGACTTTGGCTTTGGGGAACCCAACCTGGCCAAGATCCCAGTGCCTCAAGCTTGGAAAGTCCCAAAGCTGCCATACAGCAAGGCACCACACAGAGTTAGACAAAGGGTATCTTGTCAGTAACCAAGATAAAAAATGTCTGAAGATATTTGTAGCCCAATTGATTCATCAAGACAGATGCCTGCTCCATCACCCTGAAGCATTGGCCCTCAGAGATTTGATGTACCAGCTATCAAAATTCAGCAGGGCCCAGGATCTGTCATAGCTTTTTCAGGCAAACTCTGGTCCATCTCAGACCCTTCCTCCAGGATTTTATCAAATAGAAGCCAAGGCAACTTCCTTCTCTGGGCCTCAGGGCCATTAGAAGTACCCAGAGGAAAGAAAGGTGAAATGCAAACGAATGAACAAAATGGAAAACGAAAATGCTCCTTTGAAACACAGGGGGTGCCTTCTGTCCAGTAAGTTGAAGACGCTCATACCTGTTACCTAGAAACCCTACTTCTGGCTACATATAACAGGAAAAATTTCACATGTATGTACCCAGAGACATGTACAAATGCTTTACTCCAGCAGTTTTTATTTTTTTTTTTAATATATTTTTATTTATTTCTAGGAGAGAGAGAGAGAAAGAGAGAGAGACAGCGTGAGCAGGGGAAGGTCAGAGAGAGGGAGATACAGACTCTGAAATAGGCTCCAGGCTCTGAGCTGGCAGTCAGCACAGAGCCCGACGCGGGGCTCGAACCCACGAACCGCGAGATCATGACCTAAGCAAAAGTCGGACGCTTAACCGACTAAACCACCCAGGCGCCCCACTCCAGCAGTTTTTAACAGAAAAAAGGAAATAGTATAAATATCAGAATCTAAGAACACATTAGGGAAAATATGTTAGGTATTTCACCAAAGAGAATTTAATAAAGGGAATTAATCGAATGGGCATCAGAGGGCTGAGAGAGCAGAAAAGGAGCACTGAGTTTATCTGGAGAGAGCACTGCAGAAAGTAGCCATTACCCTTAGGGCTAGGGGAACAAAGGAGAAGGGGTGCTCAGAGGAGAGCCCCTCAGAGTTGCAACTCAGACCCATGAAGAGGGGCTGCTGCTGGATGTTACTGGTAATTTAGGAACTCAGAGGAGATTGGCAAACATAGGACTTCGGACATTTTCTGAAACGGGGTATTGAATGGTGAGACTGGTTCTGGGGAGTCCCAAAAGAAGTTCCCAAAGGAGGCTGGACCCAAATGTCACTGTCAGGATAATCTGCCACAACTATGGCTACCTAAGCAGGACAGGAGGCAAACAGGAAGAAGAAAGTCCCTTCTCCCCTCCGCCTTCTTTCCAATCCTGCTCAGTTGTTGCCTAGTAGACAGTTCTAGGAATGTGAAGACGGAAAGGAAGGAGGTCTTGGACTTCACGGACAAAATGTCATCCACAGACTGGAGGCCCTACCTCAGATGTACTTAGACTAGATGGTAAAGACCCTCTCTCCACTGACCGTTGTCTGAAAGCCTTCTGTCAAAGATTCTTTCCTTTGTCCTGAAGCTTTTTCCTTTTGAGAACGCAGAAATCCCTGAGAAAAGACAGGATGGGCACAAGGGAAAGTAACATTTCTCAAGCATCTGTGCGAAGGCATTGCTCTTTGTGCTAAAGTTTAAATTTCGTCAGCTAATGATTGCTTCCTGTTAGGGGAAACTTTTCACTTTCTTTTTCTCTAGGCATTCATTCTTTTAATATAATCAACATCATTCATCAATTGATATTTTAAAAATGTACACCCACTCTGCAAAGCAAACAGTTAAAAAATTGTTTTCGTAAAACTCATTTATTAGAATGGCTAAATCCAAGAAACTAGCAATTCCAAATGTTGTCAAGGATGTGAAGCACCAAGAATTCTCATTCGTTGTCTGGTAGGCATGCAAAATCACACAGCTACTTTGGAAAACAACTTGGTATGTTTTATAAAGTTAAAAATACACTTAACATATGATTACAAAGGGGACACATAAGGGAAAATATAGGGTGCTGTGTGGTACTAAGGTGGTGGGTATAAGACTCTATGCATCTGTCCAAAGCCATAGAACTGAACGTCACAAAGAGTGAACTTTATGCAAATTTTAAAATATCAACCAGGATACAATCCCAGGAGATGGAAAGAAGATTGTGACAAATTAATTTAACTGCATTAAAAAACACGATGTGACCTCACTAAAGGATTTAGGGTAAAATGATGATGTAAGTAATTTTTGGTCAGAATAAGTCCTCCAACTTTGTTAATCCTTTGCCAGATTGTTTTGGCTATCCTGGGCCCCTTCCATTTCCATATATATTTTAGGTCAGCTTGTCCATTTCTGCAAAGAGAGCAGTTGGGATTTTGATAGGGATTGCATTGGGTTATAGATCTATTTGGGAAGATATTGCCATTTTGTAACTATTGAGTCTTCTGATCCATAAATACAGGATGTCTTTCAATTTACTTAGGTTTTCTTTATTTCTTTGAACAATGTTTTGGGTTTTCAGATACAAGTATTGGACTTCTTTTGTTAAATCTATTCCTAAGTATTTTATTTCTTTTGATGCTATATTAAAAGGGGTTGCTTTCTGAATTTCATGTTTGGATTAGTCATTGCTAGTTTATAAGAATATTGATCTTGTATCCTGCATCCTTTTTGATCTGGTTTATTCTAATTATTTTAAGTGGATTCCTTAGGCTTTTCTATACATAGGATCATGTTATCCACAAATAGAGATGGTTTTACTTTTTCCTTTTCAGTGTGAATGCCTTTATTTTTTCCCCCTTGCTTACCTGCTCTAGCTAGAATCTCCAGTGCAATGTTGCATTGACGTGGTGGGAGACATCTTTATCTTCTCGTTCCTGGTCTTAGGGGTGAAGCATGCAGTCTTTCATCAAGTATAATGTTAACCATGGTTTTTTCAAAAATACTCTTTGTCAGCTTAAGGAAATTCTCCTCTTTACCTTGTTTGTTGTGTTGTGGGTGTTGAATTTGGTCAAACTTTTCTTCCTCTAATGAGATAATCATGTTTTTTTGTCTTTTATTAAATATAGCATATTACCTTGATTGGTTTTTAGATGTTAAAGTAACCATGCACCTCTGGGATAAATTCCATTTGGTCATGGTGTATAACCTTTCCTCTATGTTGCTAGCTTTGGTGTTAGCAGGATTTTTTGGAGGATTTTTAAAATCTATATTCATAAGAGATACTGGGCTGTAGTTTTTTAAGTTATTCTGATGTGTATATCTTGCTTTGGTATGAGCAATACAGGCCTCACAGAAAGAGTTTAGAAGTTTCATTCTCTTCTAATTTCTGTAAGAGTTTCTAAAGGATTCTTTAAGTATTTGTTAAAACTCATTAGTGGAGATATCTGGGCCTAAGGATTTTTTTTAATGGAATATTTTAAAGTTACCGAATAATTTTTTTTTGGTTATAAGTCTATGCAGGTTTTCTCTTTTTTTTTCTTTAAGTTTATTTTTATTTATTTTGAGTGAGATATAGAGAGCAAGCAGGGGAGGCGCAGAGAGAGAGAGAAACAGAATACCAAGCAGGCTCCATGCTATCAGCTCAGAGCCTGATGCAGGGCTCAAACTCAGGAACCACCATGAGATCATGACCTGAGCCAAAATCAAGAGATCAAGAGTCGAATACTTAACCAACTGAGCCACCCAGGTATGCAGCAGACTTTCTCTTTCTTTTGAGTCTATTTTATTTGTTTGTTTCTTTCCATGAATTCTCCATATAGTCTAAGTTATATAGTTTGTTGAAATATATTGTTCAGTTTCCTTTGTAATGATTATTTATGTAAGGTCAGTAGGATGGCTCCTTTCTCATTCCTAGTTTTTAATAGTTTGAATCTTTTCTCTTTTTCTTGGTCAATCAGGCTAAAAGTTTGTCAAAATTGTTAATATTTTTAAAGAACCAACTTTTGGTTTTATTGATTTTTCTGGACTGTTTTTTCACTTGTATTTCAT